GCCAGCTTCGGGGTGGAAGGCAGAGGGGGCAGGTGCCCCAGCTCCTGCCCCGCTGCCCTGCGCTATCGGCGCTGTCCTGGCAGCGGGGGGCTGCGTGAAGGTGTGTGGGTGGGTGTGCACTGGCCCCGCGGGGAAGGCTCCAGCCGGGGCCGCGCTGCTCTCAGAGGTTGTTGTTCTGGTTGTCCTCCTTGTGTGCACCTCTGCTTTTTGCTAGAGCTGTGGTCTCCTGGGTGTCGTCGTGGTGGTGTCTCACCCTGAGGGAGAGAAAGGGACCATTGAGCTGTGAGGGAAAGCCCAGGCAGTGCCAAGGCCCATACAGGGGTATGGCCACCCGCTCCCTGGCATAAGCTGCCACCTGCCCCGCAGCACCAAGCACCCGCCACAGCAATCTGCCCGCACAAAGGAGGCAATTACTGCAGTTCATGGCTGTGGGCCCAGCCCTCCACCCCGAGAACAGAAATGCCACATCAGTCCTGGGCAGATGACAGATCCACCAGCAGCCACCAGCACCGGCTCTCCTCGACCACCTCGTCACAAAGCTCCTAAGCCCTGACCTTCAGCGTTTGCCAAGGTGGCCCCAGCCCCAAGTCCATCAAAGGCCAGAGACTCTGCTGCTGATCTGTGTGGGTACTTACTTGTCTCTGTTGAAAACAATGAAGTCCCTCTGGAGCATCTCTAGGTGCTTTTGAAGATGGCAGGCCTTTCACATTTGAATAGAGAAACAGAGAGATGGAGAATAAATTCACAGTTGACACAGAAAGACATTACAAGGACAATTTCAAGGAGATGTAGAGATCTCTCTAGGTACAGAGCATCTTCAGCACTGCAGCGCAGAGAATGGCATTGACTCTCCCCTCACACCAATCTGGTGTGTATACCTGCTGCCCTCCACCAAAGGGAAGATGTGGAAGAGTCTTGGGAATAAAGCTGGTCACAAGGGGAAAAAAATGGTCTGTTTAAAGAGTTTGCTGTGGTCTTGCTAGATGGCAATCAGCTTTCTTGGAAAATGAGAGACTTGCACCTGCTTGCTCTCACCTGGGAGGAATTGCTTTTGCTGGTGTCCTTCTCCTTCTTAGCCAAGCGCTTTTTTTTCTTGTGAAGAGGTTTGGATTCTAGGATCATTTCTTCCAGCTCAAAGGTTGGGTCACAGTTCAATCTGCCTTTCTGGAGGGGAGAGAGAGGTTGCCTTAAGTGATCAGAGCTTGTCTTGAAGAGTCTCTCATAAATTGGACTGCATCTGGGAGCTAAATTTTGTAAAAAATAAACTAATTACAACTGCATACACAGCCAGAACACCTGCTGTACTTCTTACATATTTCACCAGTTCCCTCAGCCAGGGGACATTGTCAAGATGTGACAATTGCTCTTCTTGTGCTCACTGCTTCTCCTCAGCCCTTTGGCTGCTTTGGTGTCTTGCTAGGCTGTGCCGCTGCTGGGAGGAGCACAGCAAAACTGGTTTTAAAGCAATACACATACACCCACCGCAGAGAAAATGAGCAACAGAGGGGGAAAATACATACAATTAAGAAATACTCATAGTGTAGCCCAACTTCTGTTTGGCTGAAAAACAGTCAGAGTAACACTGCACACAACAGTCCTTGGATTATTTTCTATAAGGGTTATGTTACTTCTGTGCTGCTTTAATCCAATTAAAAAAGGATCAGAAACACTAATCTACCATATTTGTTATTTTACCATGAACAATGGGCTTGTTAGGGAGAGTCATTACAGAAAGAAACAATTATCACA